TTGGAGGTGTTTGTGACTATTTCAAGATTATTTAAATGGGATAGGTTATTCTGGATCGTGGACGTGGCAGAATTGGTCGGTAGTATTATGTATCTGTTTTCATGTGATTTACTATTGCGGATTGTGTTATTAGTTTTGTTTCGTTTGTATATTTTGTATGCCTTTCTTCTTGCATTGTGGATGAAGTGATATGGGTATTGTAGGTTTTTGAATGTGTTTTCTATGTATGTTTCTTCTTTAAATAAATATTGAGGACTACAGATTCTTAATGCTCTTAGATAGAAACCTATAATAATTCCAGATTTAATTTTTGAAGGGTGGTTTGAGTAGAAACTGATGAGATCATTTTTGTTTGTAGCCTTTCTGTAAACGTCAAAATTGAGTTCGTTGTTATTTCTAATTAACAAAATGTCCAGAACGGAAGAGTGTAGTTGGTTTCAGTTTCGAGAGTGAAGTTTATTGTAGGTTCAATGTTGTTAAGTTTGGAGAGAAGATCCGTTAAATTGTTTTGTTTTTGTTTTTATTAGTTACTTTGTTCATTTAATTTCATTTTCGTATTTTGCTTTGATAAAGTCCACATTGGACGAAACGCGTCAGCAATTACCAGTTTTCCTATTGTCATTTTTATTCATAAATATTGTCTTCTCTACCGATTAAATCGGAGAAATTTTCATATATATATATATATATATATATATATATATATATATATATATATACAATGATGCTCACCCTACAAAAGGCCCAAGAGCCACTCGAGGTAGAGGTTACAGAGTAAAAGCACATTGTAGTGATCGAAATCATCTTGAGTGTCGGCTCCACAAAGCGGTGCTTATATAGCTATATATCATTGTTGTAATAATTAGTTATTTAGATGCAAATAATATATTTTCAGAAATTATGCTTATAATTAATACATATTTTAATATTATCGTTATATATATATATATATATATATATATATTCTAGATCGAGAGAGAATGCGATAGATATATAGGTACATAGGTGAACATATAGCTACGAAATGTAGAATAAACATGCTTACAAAGATACGTTAATTTTTCTACGGAAGATGCAAAATATACAAGCAGTTACGCGCACATATGTAAATTTAATATATTGTTCGTTTATACGTTATTTTTATTTAAGTAAATGCTTGTTTTTTTTTTTTTATTAAACTATTAATTACATTTATCGGCGAGAATGTTCGAGAAATTCCGAACTATCAGCCACAGATTAGCGTCTGATTAGCAAAGTTCGAATTACTGTTTATAAACAGACACCTTCGACGACTTTACTCGAGCGATCATTTCTCCTCACGGAACGTATCTTAACGTAAACAATGACAACATATGAAATGGATTAAGTCCGACAATTATTCAATATATTTTCTCTTCATACGTTCAATTCATAGATATATTTCTTCAAGTAAGTACTCTGTTTCTTTTTAATTAAGCAGTATTAAATAAACATTTATCGGTTTGAATGTTTGAGAAATTTCGTCGAAAATTAGCCCTCTTCCGATAGGTATCGAACATGTAACCCTAATGGGAACCGTCATGTCATCTGACGTGCTGTTAACCATTCAGCCACAGAGAAGCGTCTGGTTATCAAAGTCCGAATTCTGATAATATTTAAATATGTTTCGCAAACATTCTCGATGCTAAATTGTGTAAAAGTTACTAAGATGCAGTAGGATGTTTTGATTTGGATACGTGTCACGTGTAATGAAGTAACAGATAATATTCAAATAAGTGTAAGAAAACATTCTGGATGCTAAAGTGTGTAAAGTTTGGTGAGACGTTGCAGGATGTTTTTTAAAAGTTTTCATTAATGTATATCCCGTGCGTAATTTTTAAATGTATTGATTTTCATCGATATATTTACGGCAATAGAAGGAGAAGTCATGAGAAAGGACAATAAAAGAACAGTTTTCAGGAAAGCAGAAGATTTACGTTGCATTTAAATTTTTGGAGATTGTAGTTGGCAGGGAAGCAAGAAATTCGGAAGGGAGTTCCAGAGTCGAGAAATGCGAGAAAAGAAACAATTAGAATGGAACATACGGTTGCATCTAGCTTGTTCAATAGTAAAACGGTGAAACCTAATCGCCAATCTAGTCTTCTTCTTTATGTGGTTTATCTCCTCAGGACGTAGGCGATTATGGCTTTCCACACCTTCCTGTCCCTTAAAAAAACTGTCTTTCTGTTATTTCTCCTAAGCCGTTTCCCCCATCCATTTACTCAAACTCAAAATATGTTATTTGTTGTTTTCCTGAGTCCCTCTTGCCCTCCATCTGTCCTGTGAGTATCAGATTTTCCAAGTCCTCCTTCCTCATTATATGCCCCAGAAACCTTAACCAACTCTTACTGATGCCAAGTATTAGTTTCCTTTTTGTTTCTATTTTCCCCAAAACCTCGTCGTTGCTCACATGGTCGGTTCATAGTATCCTCAGCATCCTTCTGTAGAACCACATTTCTGTTGCTTCAAGTCTCCTCTTCCT